AGCCCTACACGACGCCGGAGCCCCCCTTTGTCCCCCCACCACCGACCTATACCACTACTACCGCAGAAGAGGCCACAGAAGAGGCCACGGAAGAGGCCACGGGAGAGCCACTGGCACAGGGACCTGTTTTTCTGGAACCCTCAGAGGAAGAATCCGCCACCAAGGAACCCTCAGAGACCACCCCAGAGGAGACCACGGCTGCCGAGGAGCCTTCGACGACCACGACCACGACAGGACCTTCGACCAGCTCGCCACGAACGACAAGCACTCTAGAGCCCCCTTACATTCCCGCTGATTCAGAGATGGCTCCGACCCTGGAGCCCCCCTACATCCCCCCCGAGAACCCGGTCACGTTAGAGCCTCCCTACATCCCCGACGAGGAGACACTGGTCACTCTGGAACCCCCCTACACCCCCGACGAGTCCACCGTCACTCTAGAACCCCCATACACTCCTTCAGAATCCATGCGCACCCTGGAGCCCCCCTACACACCTTCAGAGAAGCCGTACACCAAGCCAGAGCCTCCGTATGTTCCCAAGGAGACCCCGGGCAAACTGGGCCGCCCCTATACGCCGCCAGAGTCCCACAATCACCCCACCCCGCCTCCATACGTCCCTAGGGAGTCGACGGCCCAGATTGAGCGGCCCTATACACCGCCAGAGTCCCCAAACCCATATTTGGAGGGCCCGTACATTCCTTCAGTGGCCGGCCAATCCGGCCCCCGACTAGAGCACCCATATCTGCCCCGAGAGGAACCTCACCCTATTGAGCAGCCATATATGCCGCCAGAGGCCCCACCTCCTCGTTTAGAGTCCCCCTTCATCCCCCCAGACATAGAAGGGCCCCTGGAGGGCTTGAAACATCCTCCGCTGAAACCTCGCCCCCGAGGATCCCAGTACGTCGCTCGAAAGAAAGCTAAAACACCAGAGAACCCCTACTTCCATCTAAAGACGGCTGCCCCCCTGCAGCTTCCGGATACTCCTCTAATCCCTAACGTCCCAGAGCACCCGTATCTGTATGGGGTGCCCGTTGCCCAGCCAAAATCTTCCAGGCGTTTCAGGATGCCCTACGCTCCTCGCAGCTGGCGGGCCGCTCCTCCTGGCCAGCGCTTATAATACTCTCCTAAATAAGAGAGCTGGTGTAGGCGGTGCATTCTGCCTGCAGATGTTTACACATCTGGTCCAGGCTTTGCTGAGACAGCCTGTTCTCCAAGAGGCCAGGTAGTAGCCGGTGCCCTCCCTCTCCCACATCCCATAATAATTCTTGCATTCTCCGTGCCATGGCCCCCTATCCATCCCAGCCAGGTCCCTGTGCTTCCCTGGATTTCCAAGAGGGAGACCTCAGGATGATTTCAAGCCCATGGCAGATGCTGGACCTCTTCAGGACGACCAGGAAGGAACTCTCGGAGAGAGCGTTCGGACTAAAACCCACCGCCCTGCCCTGGGCGAGAATGTTCTGTGCAGGTGTGAAATAATGAAGGACCCCGAGTGACTAACTCTTTCTCTCTCTCAGCGTGCTTTCTCTCGTGGGAGGTCCTGGGACCACATGGCATGACTAACTCTCTCTCTCTCTCTCTCTCTCAGCGTGCTTTCTTTCGTGGGAGGTCCTGGGACCGCATGGCGGGTCTTTTGGTGCCAGAGATGGACGGAGGCCTTTAGGAGTCCCACTGCCCCTTGCCTGGGTGGGGGCGGCAGGAAGGCCCTCCACGGCCACGACTCCCGTGAAGCCAAGACTCCTTGAGTTCCTTTGGGTTCCCAGCGCCTCTGTTGGGGGCCGGGGGCCCTGCTGGTCCCCATGGCCTCTGTGGGGTTGGAGAGAGAGAGTGAGTTGGGGACATGGGTGGGCTTAAGACTGGGGGTGACACCACCCTGTCCTCGACCCGGGCTCCTCTCCAGAGATGCTCGGCCTCTGAACGGTTCCCCCTTTCCAGGGCAGAGAAGAGGGTCCACAGCTCTTCCTTGGCTTCTTCTCCCTTAGATGCAGCCGAGGGCAGCAAATGCCTCCCTTCTTCCTCCTCCTCCTCTTCCTCTTCCCTTCTCCCTGGATCCTCCCATTCTGCACCTTCCTGGGGCACAGGGGTCGCCGTTTCCCTTGGGCCAGCCAGGGACCAGGGGCCAAGGGCCAAGGGGCCAAGGGCAGACAGCCCACCACAGACCCCCGGAGCATCACAGCAGCGGATGCATTGTGCTAATAGGCCATGGATTGGGGGTGTGTGTGCAGCCAACACGCTCAGAGGGAGAATGCTAAAGATTTGATCAGTACAATCCCACGTGGCCAGATGTGCAGGGTCCCGGGACCTTCCGTGGTCCGGAGCCCCTGAAAGAACCCGGGGGACAGAGGATCCCCTGCCGGTGAGGTTTCTTTGCCAGGATGATGCCCTGCCAGCCTCTGGCCTTGACAGGGTGGGTGCCTTTTTCATGCCCACGGGAGCGGTCTTCAGGGGCCCCCCTCAGACAGCCGGAGGCATCTCTCGCGGTCAAAGGATGAGCCTCCACGTTCGGGAAATGGTCATCCGGAGAAATACCCAACAGTCCCAGAAGCTGGACTAGGACGGTCTGGAGGTCAGCGGCCAAGGTCTGCAGGCCGCCCTTTTGAACAACTAGCTGGCTTTCCCTCTTTTCCCCTCACAGACACCCCACTCCCCACTTTCTTTCATTGCCTTCCTCTTGTAGACTCTTTCTCTTCCCTCCCAGCTGGCACGGAGCGTGACCGGCCCCAGTCTCTCCTGCTGGTGGGAGTGGGCTCTCTCCGCCTCCCTGAGAGTCAGGGCAAAATTTCTGACCCCCAGTTCCCCTGTGGGCTGGGGTCTTGGTGGTGGAGCTGTGGATGATGCCTGGAGGCCAGAGGCATAGCCATGGCTGAGATGGGATTAAAGGAGGTGCGTGAGGCAGGAGAGGAGCACCCTTGGGCTGACGCCATGACCGGGAGGTGGTTCGAGGCCTGAGAGGGGCTGCTCTTGCTGGAGCGCTCCACGGACAGCTGAGAGGCCATCCGCCACTGTGGTCTGAACACCGGATGCAGGGAGGGAAGGGCTTCTGGTGCCATCTCAAGAGGTTGCTCGGGTTCGCCAGGATGAGGCCGGGCACTGAGAGAGTTGGAGTTCGCCACTGGCAGAGGGCACAGCAGGGGCCAGGGGCCCGGCTGCAGAGATCCCCCGGACAGCCTGCTCACCGCCGGTCGGGTCGCACTGCTCCTCTGCCACCTTCCGCACCACACTCTGCCAGAGAGCCTGACCAGTTCTGGGGGAAGTTGGACCGTGCTGCTCAAGTGGGTGAGGCAGAACGCCGCCTTCCAAGGAGACCGGCCTGTCCCACGGGATCTTCCCAGGCCGGGCAGTTGAGAACACTGACTCGGAAAGAGCCCTGCGAAGAGAAGGCCAAGGACTGGGCCTTCTTGGTAGTTGCTCCTTATGTATGGAACAATCGCCCCTTGAAATTCACCCGCTCCCTTCGCTGGGAAGCTTTAAACCATCATCGAAAACATGGCTTTGTAGGCAGGCCTTCCTGGAGTCTATAACATTGGAACACAGTGGTGGTTTCAGCATTTTATACGATCTCTTCTGCCACCTTGCCTTTAAATTACCTTCATTATTTCTAGTTTTTAGTTATGTTGCTTGTTTATGTTTATTTGATATTTAATTTAGATTTTTTTATTGCCATTATGGTTATTGTTTTTATAGTATTGCTTATTTGTTTTTGAGTCATAAACCACCCAGAGTAGCCCTGGCAGCTGGATGGGTGGTATAAAAGATGAACAAACAAATGAATGAGTGAACGAACGAACAAACGGACGAACGAGTGAGCGAACCAACCAACCAACCAACCAACCAAACAACCAACCAAACAACCAAACAACTAAATGAATGAACCAACCAACCAACCAAGGGCCAGTTGCCACGGTTGGGGGCTTTGGAGGCATAGCAGGGAAGGAACCCACACTGCACTCCCTCAAGGGCAGCTGGCTGACTCCGTTGGGGACTGTCCTGTGGCGGCACTCCGTGTCTGGTGCACCTGAGAGGTCTCCTCGAACTGGGAGAAGAGGCGGGAACGATCAGTAAAGAGGTTTTTCTTCCCTTCGAGACTCTGGCTGTGAAGTCAATTCCTCGGCCCTTAGTTCTGAAGTTTTTCGTCTTGGAGCCCGTTGGCCTTTTAAGGAGCTCCCTTGCTCTAGGAATGGGCTTGTTTCTGCAAACATGTCACAAAAGGGTGACCACTAGATCTTTGTATCCCAAGAAGAACAATATTAAACAGCGAAGGACCTCACAAAACACATTAATAAATGCAAAGTGAATATACTTTATTACCTGTTGATTACAATTCTAAATAAAGGGTTTTCGTGCATTCAGCACCTTCACACCACATACATACTCACCAAAGAGAGAAGAATTATTTGCATTGTCCAAGATCCAAAGAAAAAGTAGTTGGTTCCAAAAGCCTTTCGGTCTCAGCAGACAAAATAGAGTTGGCCGGACCCCTCTTTTAATGTTCTTTTTAGGCAGGTTGCTAGCTGGGCCTGCACATTAGATGTTTCTTTGTCTCCCTCCAGATATGTGGTCCTTATCACCAAATGTGAAGTATGGAATGCTTAAGGGGTCTTCTTCCATCACTTAGTGGACAGGGGTGGCATCTGCTTGCTCAGGAGGATCCTTGTACCGGGGTCTTCCTAACCCCTGCGTTTGCTCCACTCCCTCAATTAGCAGCAGATGTTTTTTTTATCAATTTACTGAAAGCATAGTTCAAAACGTTCAGTGCAAGCGTTGAATTTCTCACAATGAGGGCTTATAGCCACAAGTTTTAGGCAGGTTGCTAGCTGGGCCTGCACATTAGATGTTTCTTTGTCTCCCTCCAGATATGTGGTCCTTATCACCAAATGTGAAGTATGGAATGCTTAAAGGGTCTTCTTCCATCACTTAGTGGACAGGTGTGGCATCTGCTTGCTCAGGAGGATCCTCGTACCAGGGTCTTCCTAACCCCTGCGTTTGCTCCACTCCCTCAATTAGCAGCAGATTTTTTTTTATCAATTTACTGAAAGCATAGTTCAAAACGTTCAGTGCAAGCGTTGAATTTCTCACCATGAGGGCTTATAGCCACAAATACAAAGTCCCATAGTTCCTCTGGGTTTTGTTGGTCTCCATCTTTGTGTCCTAACTCTCTCTCTGGTTCTTCACCTTACCCAGCCCAAACATTCACACACCTTGCAAACCCTCGTGATGCCACTATGGAGGGGTGGGTGGGTGGCTGCTGCTCATATGCTGCTCCTGCTCTTCCCTCTCTTCCTCTACAGACCACCCCTCCCTTGCCCCCCTCTGCATAGGAAAAAGGCCCCTTTGCATCTTTCTGGCAAGAAAAAGGCCGGAGCCTCTCAGCAGGAGAGCAAAAGGCTGGCTTGCAAGCAAAAAAGGGCTGGGCAGATTCGATTCAGCCTTTGCATCGTGTGGACTTTGAATGCACCTGCTTTATCAATGGAGCCGTTCCCAAGGGATCTGACCTGGACTCCTCCCAATTTCTGTCCGACAGCCCTTTGTATTCTTCCATTCCATTCAGGAGCACTCTAGTCAGTGCTGGTTAGGCCTCGCCTTGAGTCCTGTGTCCAGTTCTGGACATCCCCACTTCAAGACGGATGCTGTCAAAGTGGAGCTAGGAGGGCGACCAGGAGACTGGAAAACCAAGCCTTAGGAGGAAAAACTGAAAGAACTGGTTGTGTTTAGCCTGGAGAAAAGAAGACAGAGGGGAGATAATAGGAGAACACTGTTCAAATCTTTGAAAGGCTGTCCTACAGAGGAGGGGCAGGATCTGTTCTTGATCATCCCAGAGTGCAGGACACACAAAAATAGGCTCAAGCGACAGGAAATTAGATTTCGGTTGAATACCAGGAATAACTCGCCAACTGTTAGAGCAGTGTGACAACAAAACCCATGACCTCAAGGGGAGGTGGTGAGCGCTCCAATGCTGGAGGCCTTCAAGAGAGAATTAGACAGCCAACTGGCAAATACCTTTTGATTTGTATTCCTGTCTTGAGCAGGAGGTTTGATGGCCTTCGAGGCCCCATCCAAATTCACAAGACTGTTAGGCATCCTTCAGTCTCAAAAGACTATGGTGACATGCTCTGAATAGAGGACTTGGAACAGCGTCTAGTGTGGCTGAGGAGACCAATTCGAGAGTGACCATCCCTTCTGCCCTGGAGACAAATACAGTCTGTCCCCTGTCCAGCTCCCTGGTTTTGCTGCTTTCATGACTGCCTCTTTGCCCCTCGGCCTGCTGGGCAAGGGTCGCTTCAAATTGGGAGAGGCCATGATGCACCGCCTGCCTCCAGGCTGAACGATCAGATGTCAAGGTTTCCCACCTGTTGAGGTCCATTCCTAAGGCCTTCAGGTCCCGCTTGCAGATGTCCTTGTATCGCAGCTGTGGTCTCCCTCTGGGGCGATTTCCCTACACTCATTCTCCATACAGGAGATCCTTTGGAATCTGACCATCAGCCATTCTCACGATGTGCCCAGGCCAATGTAGATGTCGCTGTTTCTGTAATGTATACATGCTAAAAATTCCAGCTTGTTCTAGGACTACTGTATTTGGAACTTTATCCTGCCAGGTGATACCAAAAATGCTTTAGAGACAACGTATATGGAAGGTGTTCAGCTTCTTCTCCTGCCGTGCACAAAAGGTCCAGGACTCACTGCAGTACAGGAGTGTACTCAGGACACAGGCTCTATAGACCTGGATCTTTGTATGTGTCGTCAGCTTTTTATTACGCCATACTCTCTTTGTGAGTCTAGAGAACATGGGAGCTGCTTTGCCAAGATTTTTCACAAGACTATGATTCTTTGATTTTGCCTTTCTCTGCCTGGAGATCTTATGCTTGGGGACTGCATCTCCCAAGAGTTCCTACTCAGCATGGGAAAGATTTTTTTTTTGGACTACAGTTAACAGAATCCCTGTCAGTCTAGGGATTCTGAGATTTCTAGTACCAAAAATCAAGAGTCGAAATCTATACAAAACTGAGGGGTGACCGTTTGGGGCATGAGTCAAGAGGGACCGGTGGTCTCTGCTTAGGGAGGCCAAAGGGTAAAAAGCTGTGGATTTCCAGGCTTGGGATTTTTCCCCCCCTGTGTGTGTCCATTAAGGAGGTAAAAATCTATCCGCCAGCCCAGCTGTCTTCTCTCACGCCCGTTGCCATTGCTCTGGCAGGAAAACTACAACCTAAAAACTAGACATGAGAAGAGTGAAGGCTGTTTGACGATTCTCAGCAACATGACCTATTTTGCATCCTCTGAGATGAATTCCAAGACAAAGCACACCTTCCCCACCAAATCCGCATGGTTGGCAATCTGTTTTGGTAACGCGGAATCATGCATGTGTTTCATAAATGTGGGTAAACCATAAAAGGTTTCTCTCTGGTTTTCCATCAGCTCCTCCACACTCTGGGACTGACATCTTTAGCAGGTCAACAGAGTGGTGGAGGAGAAAAGCTGTTTTTCTTCCCACATTTCTGTGGAGAAACTTGACTCCATGACCATGCTTGCAAATTAAGCCTGTATTTACCTCCCAAGGGCCAATTATAAAGCACACTGAATGCAAGACACGTAGGAGAGGGTATGCATGTGTTGTACTCCATGACCATGCTTGCAAATTAAGCCTCCCAAGGGCCAATCGTAAAGCACACTAAATGCAAGACACGTAGGAGAGGGTATGCATGTGTTGTGACAAACAGATGCCTTTCATGGCTCAGGGAGCACCTCTGCCAAAAACATGATAGGCATACCCTCTGGCTTGACCCAGAGTGGGTGGTGCCGCGTTGCAGCGGTGGCGCAAGACAGCCGGCCAAGTTCTGCTGACACATTCCGTGGAAAACTGGGCAGAGGGCCTGTGGTTCCGTGTGATGTCGTATGGAATGCAGTTTGTGATGTCAGGTGCCAAGAGAGCCGGAGGGGGCACATTGCCAGGAGAATGAGGAGGTGGCTCCTTCCTCTCCTGGCCCTCCTTGCAATCGGGCCCATGTGTGCCATAGATGACAAATGCAAGTAAGTGCCCATGGCTGGAGTCATCCTGCCCCCCTGCCGTCCCCAAAGCCCGTCACCCTCAGGGTCCTGGAACGAGGCTCTTCCTGGAAAGAGGAAACGTCTGCCAGGCTCAGGGGAGAAGCAGGACCAGGTGGAGGGAGGGTCGGACGGCTGCACAAACGGCAGGACACGCCACCTGGGGGGCCACATTGAATGCCATCCCATGCCAGGTTCTGCCAGGGTCTGCAGCTGGCACACGCCAGGCAGGCATCCTTAGAGAATAGGTATACCAGAGGGAGACAGGGCATGACCCACACATGAAGAAGCATCAGCGGCAGGTCCTACGTGGCGCAGGGTGGGGATCCTGATGAGCCCCTCTTTCTCTCAGCAGTGCCTTGGGAATCAGCGGGCACTGGGTGGCGTGAAGGGCTTCCTTCCACCAGGGCAGCCCCCAACGGGCACTTCTTGAAGCTGCCACTCTCAATGGTTGCTGAGGTGAAGGCTGCAGGGGAGGTGCCCCATCACGCCACCCCTGCCAGTCGAGCAGAGGACACGGGGAGGGGTCTGGTTTGATTTAGGGGTGGAAAAGGCACTTCAAAAAAGACATCAGGAAAGGACAGGTGGTGCTTGCCAGAAGGGTAGCACCGTTTATGCAGAGCAGCAAGAGAAACCCCTTGTTCATCTGGTGGCATCTTGAAGGCCAATCGGTTTTATTTGGGGCAAATGTTTTGTGGCCCACGGTGCCACGTTGCTTCTTGCTGGACGGCTTCCTCGCCCGCCCTCCTGCCCTCTGGGGAACGAGGACTCTTTTGTTGAAACAGACTTTTGGCCACCGATCAGAGAGTTTGAACCGCAGGCGTTTTGTGTTGCTGCCTTGATGTTTTTAAATCCATTTAAACTTTACGAATTGTGTCTTTGTTTTACGCTGATGCAGACTTTTAAAATATTGTGATTTTTGGGTGGGTTTTTAAGCTGCACTGTAATGTAAAGATGTAAGTCTTCTTGGCTCTTACAAGACAGAAAGGCGAAATGTAGATTGAATGAATAAGTGAAATCAGTAATGCCCAATGAAACCTGTTAGCTGGTCTTTCAAGGGGTGCGAGACAGTCCACGTTTTTTACGGGCGTTTTGGACATGGTTTCTGGTTAATGTTCTTAAATTGCTATTTTTAATTTTCCTTATACCAAGCTTTGGAAAAGCTTCTGGCAGTCAAGAAATTCTTTCTTTCTTTCTTTCTTTCTTTCTTTCTTTCTTTCTTTCTTTCTTTCTTTCTTTCTTTCTTTCTTTCTTTCTTTCTTTCTTTCTATCTATCTATCTATCTATCTATCTATCTATCTATCTATCTATCTATCTATCTATTTCCAGCCCCTTTAGTGCAGTGCACTATTCTGGACAGTTTACAGCAAAATAAAATATAACCCAGCAACAACAGGGTTATAAATACAACCAAGAGACTAGGAAAGATGTGACGAGAGGCTTAATATCATTTACCAGATAAGGCGGAAGAAGAGGCATAACATCAGATATAAAATCAGGCAGGGATGTCATTGAAGGCTTCTGTGAACAACCATGTGTTTCAAAGCCTCTTAAGTGTTGGGCTGGGTTGGGGGGGCAGGCACAGCTCCCACCAGGAGCTGGATCCAGGGTGTTGGGGCCGCCGCGAAGAAGGCCCTGTCTCTTGTAGAAGATTTCTTGGCCTCCCTCAGAGGGGCCAACTGGAGGATAAAGGCCTGGGAGGATCCGGTGGAGGAGGGAGGTGACCGCGAGGCACATTGCTCCAACAGGGAGCCTGCTCCCAACTCCTCCTGACCTCCCGGGAACGCAGACTGTGCTTTCTGTTTCCAGTGGCATCTGCGGACGGAGGCCCCTGGCACCTTCCCACAGCAACCCTTCACAAGCCGTGGGAGGGGTGGAAACGCTGCCCGGCTCTTGGCCCTGGATGGTCAGCTTGCGGGCCCCTTCGAAGTCTGGCTTCCAGCACACGTGCGGAGGCTCGCTCGTCAGCGCTAACTGGGTTCTTACGGCGGCCCACTGCTTCAAAGACATGAGGTGAGAGCGACCGTCTGAAGCCTTTCCGGCAAATGCTGAACTCTGCCAGGAATATCTGTGACTCATGGCCGGAACCACATGCAAATGAGGCTGGTGTTTACCATCCAAGGACCGATCAATATGAAGGGTCCAGGACTAATTCCTAGGTTTCTGCCTGTCTCTAACACACTAATCAGTCAGCCAGAGACAGAGAGATCCAATAGATATCTGTTTATTTTCAGCTCAAAGCAAGCAAAATATGTGCAAACTTCACATACAAAAGTGCATACATTTTTATAAGGGGTAACATGACAGAGGGCCCAAGGGGGTTGGAAGGAGGTGGAGAAATGGGAGGGGTTTCTGTCATTGGTTTACATTCCTGTATGGACCCAGCTTTGTTGCTGAAATCAAGATGGCTACAGTTAGGCTAAGATATCGGTGCAGAGAGAACTAGGAAAAGTTCACTGCAAACGGATGTCTTTCAGAAGTTCAGGAATTCCTGCTTCTGACAAGGTGTCATCTGAATCTCATCTAGTTTTGCTCTGAGAGGTCTCTTCTGCCCCCACCGCCCACAAATGGTTCTTCAGCTTTGGGAATGGAAGGAGTGGATCTGTGCCACCGGGAGCATCCAAGAGGGTTGAACGGGGGCGGACTGCAGGGTTTTTAGACATTGACTCAGAGAATGAAATGAGTGTGGCATTTGAGGGCCAAGCTACACAAGATGTCAGCTGCTCAGTAAGAAGTAGTCCTTCCTTAAGAGGCAAACAACAGTTGGCTACCATAATATGGGGTTTCCACTACTCCCCAGATTAAGGTTGCTCTTATGTCATGATTGGTCATCAGAAGGTCAACAGTAGGCTTCCTTTACAAGTCGATTGTGCAGGTATTGCAGACTTGAAGCAATGTATTGCTGAACGGACAATATTTTATCACCAACAAATTGGAGGTTTAGGCTCTCACATAGTTTGGCAATCAGAATCTAAGAGTGCGCACGGTGGGGGGGGGTTACAGAAGGAAGAACTGCTTTGCCTATATATGAATAGGTGGCAATTATTCTTTCAGCAAGCTGCAGACTAGTGCTGCGCTTTCCTTCCTTCCTTCCTTCCGGATGCTATGTGCCTTTTGCCCTCCCTCAGGACTGAAAACAATTGGGCAGCAGGTGACAGGAAGGTCGCCCCCCCGCGCGCCGCCTTAGGGCTTAGGTGGGCCAGTCAGAGCAGAACGTCTTGGTCTAGAGATGGAGACCCACAACCTGGCCGGGAATCTTGGGCTTCTCGACTTTCTCTTCTCCGCCCTTCCTCTGTTCCAGGCATCTCACCAACTGGGAGTTGCTGCTCGGGGCAGCCAAGCTCTCCCAGCCGGGCCCCGATGCCGAGGTCCGCTTCCCCAAACGCATGGTGGTGCACGAGAAGTACCAGCCGAGCCACCAGATCAACGACATTGCCCTGATTGAATTGGAGGAGCCCATCCTCTGCAGTGACTACATCCAGCCGGCCTGCCTGCCGGACGGCTCCGTGAACCTGTCCAGCATGGCCCACTGCTACATCACCGGCTGGGGCTACACCCACGAGAAATGTGAGCGGCGCGGAGGAGGAGAGCAGGCTCTGAAAGAGGGCGTGAGAGAAGAGTGGCTGGGGAGAGGATGAGGAGAAGAGGAGGGCAGGAGGGAGACGCGCAGACTTGGAAGCAAGCAGGCGAGAGCGTCAGGTTTTAGTCAAAGGAAAATGGGAACCGTCTTCAAAACTCCTTCAGGGAGACCGGGCAGGGCACTCGCCGAGAAGTGGCCCAAATCCTGTTGTTTAGCGGAGTAAATTGGACTAGAGTAGGCCCTCTGAACCAGTGGGGATTTGTTGAGTCAACATCTCCATCACTTTCATTGATTCAAACAGGACTGCTCTAACAGTGACTTCCTTTCACGCAGTAAGTTGCAGTTAGAGTAGGTCCATTTGAATCAACAGAACAGATGGGGGAGCTGCATCACTAAATCCCCATTATTTCAACAGGCCTACTCGAGTGTGATTTACTCCGCTAAGCAGCAGGATTTGGGGCCGTGAGTCTGATGGTGACTTTAACCCCATCTGCCTGCTTACGGTGGCTGGGACTGGCAGACGCTGTGATCCGGTTGAGTATTTGGAGGTGGGTGGGGGGCTTGGGTAAGACCTCATGTAGGGTGCAGATCAAATCCCAGGTGGATTCACAGTACTTCCCAAACTGGAGTCCCTGACCAACCTCTGGTACTCTAGAGCAATGGTCCCCAACCTTGGGCCTCCAGATGTTCTTGGACGACAATTCCCAGAAGCCTTCACCACCACCTCTGCTGGCCAGGGTTTCTGGGAATTGAAGTCCAAGAACATCTGGAGGCCCAAGGTTGGGGACCATTGCTCTAGAGGATGATGGAGGAAGAGATGAAGGAGGCACAACCGCTTTGGTGATGATGATCTTCTCCCGACAGCGAAGGCTCCGTCCGACATCCTGAAGGAGGCCAAGGTGGATCTCATCTCCACCCAGAAGTGCAACAGCAGCGACTGGTATTATGGGAGCATCGCTATCCACAACCTGTGTGCCGGTTTTGAAGAAGGTGGCATCGACACTTGCCAGGTAGGCGTGAGATGCCACTGACTCCAGACGCACCTTCTTTCCCTGAAGTTCAGATGCCTTCCCGGGTCCCCACCTGGTGGCAGGGGATCTGGGAAAGCAATCCTCAGATCCCGGGTTAAGTGGTTCCCCTCCTGCATGTCAAAAAGTGTGAAGGTCTCCCAAGGAGAGCTCAGGGGTCGAGGTCTCTGATTGGGGAGCCAGAGGTTGGGAGTTCGATTCCCCCTCAGTGCCGCCTCGACAGGGGCTGGACGGGACAATCCAGAGGCTCCCTTCCAGCTCTGCCATTCTCAGAGGATGAAGACATCTAAGACGATGAGGATAAGGGGCCAGTAGTCTGAGCCAGGAGGGGTTTGAAGTCTTTGTAATCAGATGCCACCAAGCCAGATAACAAGCCACCCAAACATCAGCCTCCACGAAGAAGGAGGAGAACATTCTGTTTTCGGGGGGGTGGAGAAGCAGTGCCCAGCCGAGACGGGGGGAACCCAGCCCCATGGCTAAGAACGAGCGGCTTCCCTCCTTCACCAGGGGCCAGGCTTCTTCATGCGGTCAGCGTGTCCTTGGGTGCTGGTCTCCCTTTAGAGGCAAAAGAGGCTTGTTGATTCTAGCAGATGCTTTCTACACCTCGGCACCTTGCAAGCTGGCCTCCTTCCTTTTGGAGACGGGCCATCGGGAGGTAAACGTAGGCTCCCGCAGCCATTGTGATGCCTCTTGCTTTGAAGTAATGGTCCACCTGGAGAGGTGAAGCTGATGTCTCATACATTCCAGCTGCTGTACTGCAGCCAAAACTGGGCTCACGACCTGGGGTTCAATCTCAGGTATCCGGCTCAAGGTTGACTCAACCTTCTATCCTTCTAAGGTTGGTAAAAATGAGTACCCAGCTCTCTGGACAGGCAGTGTGCAGCCTGCACAATAAACTTGTAAAGTGTCCACCTGGAGAGGTGAAGCTGATGTCTCATACATTCCAGCTGCTGTACTGCAGCCAAAACTGGGCTCACGACCTGGGGTTCAATCTCAGGTATCCGGCTCAAGGTTGACTCAACCTTCTATCCTTCTAAGGTTGGTAAAAATGAGTACCCAGCTCTCTGGACAGGCAGTGTGCAGCCTGCACAATTAACTTGTAAAGCGTCCAGGGAGTGTTTGAAGCCTTATGGGGTGGTATATAAGCAACACGTTTTTGCTTTGCACAACGGTGAGCCCTGTGTGTGGAGGAATGGCTGTCAGTTGCTCCCAAGTCCTGCTCAGGCATCCTGAGACCCACCTCCAGCAGATTTCCCACCCTCTCAGGTGGGCTGCATTTCAGTGCCCCCTTTCCACCTGAAAGCCTTCCAAGGTCATGGCAAACTCTCGCCTCCTCTCCCCACATGCTTTGGGAGGTTCCTTTTCCCAGGCTGCCCCTTCCAAGATCCTCCAGCTGACCTGGCCTCTGTTTGGAGCACACGGCAGATTTGGGGAGGAGATGCCATCTGAAGCCATGCGGTTTTGGGCTCCCCTGAGTCGTCTCCCGAGCGGGCACAGCTGTTCGGGTGACGCCAGTCCAGCTGCTGGGCCGCGCCATTCAGCACACTCAAGACTGGCAGGTTTCTGCTTGCTACAGTTCTCAAGCCATGCATAGCATTTCCAGCCTGCACGTTGCCTGCATCTTCATGAGCCCCACCTGACCAGCAGCCCCTTCCTCCCCTTCCTCCCCTTTCACATTCTCCCCACCCCCATTAAAAAAGGCCTCCCCCTGCCCCGTGGATTCCAAGTGTCCAGAAAGCTGATGTCTCCGTCCCTTTTCTGTTCTGCTGCAGGGAGACAGTGGCGGTCCCCTTGTGTGCCGAGAGGATCGGTCAGAGCGCTACTGGGTGGTGGGGGTCACCAGCTGGGGACTGGGCTGTGCCCGACCCCAAAAGCCTGGCGTCTACACATCCACGCTAAGCTTCTATAACTGGATCCAGGAGCACATCAAGGGAGTTCAGAAGACCACCACCCCTCTGCCACAGCAGACGTCTCCGTCAAGTCCATCATCCACGACCCATCTGCCAGCCCAGTCTTCATCCCAAACGCAACCGCCACCCACGCCCGAAACGCAGACAACACCTACCCCATCGACACAGCTGGAACCGACGGCTGAAATGTCGACCGAAACGACCTCCAAAAGAACACCGAGGCCGGCGCCCATCCAACCCACTCCAGTGACCCATACCTCAAAGCCCCCCAACACCACGACGCCACAGCAGCCCTTGGAAACCCATCAAGTGGAAATCTCATTGGTCGTGCAGCCGCCCCCATCGCAGCCAGAACAGCTGACATCTCTACGCACGCCGACAGTGCCGATCCAGACGGAAACTCAAACTGAAACCACCACTTCGACACCGACGACGACGACCTCTCCTTATACAATCCGCTCCACAACCAAGCGGAAGCATAAGCAGGTCGTTATATCCGGTGGATACTACGGCAGTAACTGGCCAGGCCAGCGCTGGCCCAGACTCTGGCGGAGCAGACAGAGACGCTCCCGGCCTTAGCTCCAGCCACGCGTTCGCTTCATAAGCGTTCAGTTGGGCAAGCAAAGTATTCTAAAAGGACCCGATAGAAATACCTGGCATCTGTAGGATGATATAAAATAGCTGTACTTTGAATAAAATAAAACTTATTGACAGATCTGTGGAGACTTCTCTCTTAAAAATATGCCAGGAGGCTGCTGGGAAGTTTAAGGAAAGCGTTTATTAGTGCCGGCGGGAAAAATCAATACCTATAAAAACATAGGGTGTCAGCAGAGAAAATCTGAAGAAGCTGAAATGCATAGGATAGTTCTATAGGAAGACACACAGACAGATTACGTAAATTAGTAATTACAAAGTCTTTTTATGAAGTACTTTGAGGTACCTGCTCACACGATAGTTACCAAAGTGTAACATCTGGTTTGTCCAGAACGGTAGATTGTCATCTCCTCAGGAATATGTTTGTATTTATTGTTTTATGATACCTTCTTTGTTGGTGTAAGAATGGCTCCTACTGTATTAGCTTTCTGTTTTACAATTGATGCCCGTTTCCCATGATACATTGCGCTTTGCTATCCTGTCGGTATCCGGTGTGTGTGTGGCGTGGTGCACGTTGCTGTGTCGTCTCTTGTGTCCCCTGCCTCCCTAGATTTACTGTATATTTATTCTCCCAGCTGTAAACAACTGACTCTTGCTGGTGTAGTAAGTTAAAGGGTCTTGATACACAGTCAGAAAATTTATAATAGAAGTTTCTATTGCTTTTACAACTCTTGTAAAATACGATTCGTGTAAACCAGAATCTGGCATGGTGCCACCACGATTATAAACATTACTATTTTGACTAACGGTAACTGAGCCAGCAGGTTACACAGAGTGTAAAATAAAGGCAGAATAAATTACTGAGTCTAGTAAAATAAGGTAGAGCAAGTTACTGGATCTGCAAATGCTACCTGTTAGTCACGTTAATGTTTTACATAATGCAAATTAATTCAGCGCCCTTTCCATTCAATCCTTTGTTTGAGTGACCACTTCTAAACACATGCAACAGTCAGGTGTGAAAGAGATTCTCTTGCAAGGCAATGTTATTGTCCTGTGACCCTTGCTTCCAGACTCAGCTGGAGAGCTGGCTGCTTGTTCTGCAGTGACTTTTAGTAAATGGCTGTTCAAAGCTCATTTTTAAAATACGGAGTACCTTTTCGGGGCTGCTTTTTTTTCCTACTCCCCCCTTAATTATTTTAGCACTCTGTTCAAAATTGTACATCTCGACAACCGGATGTCCTAGTGGTGCTCCATTCTCAACCAGTGGTGGTAGGGGAGGAAATAATCCCTTGCAACTAGGATGTGTAACAAACAGCACTTAGAGCTTTTCCTTTCCTGGAACAAGATCTTCAACAGCTGTTGGACGGAAATCAGGCCCATTCATTGACACTATTGGCGAATATTAGCTGCTCGTGAGTGGCACTAGCATTAACTGCAAACTTCTATTATACAGTGTAGTGACTAGCACAGCCTACTGAAATATTTCAGAAGATTTAGTTCAGAGGGGTGTATTTCCCATCACGTCACTGACCAGAATTCTAATGGTTTGCACCTCTTACCCCAGCTATGTGGATGAGGTAAATGGCGCAGCTAGGTGGCCTGCTTGGTCCTGCGCCCAAATGCACAATGTATGTCGCTATTTATTTATTTAAAATATTATTACCCTGCCTTTCTCTTTGGAAAGGGCCCAAGACGGTTGACATCCTTGAAGGACCACATTTAAAGCTGAAAACAATGAGTATGCAACAGTGGTTAACAACGCTAGAAAACAGTATTTAAAGCTAAGAACAATGAGTATAAAGAGGCAGCTTACATCATTAAAAGATAATATTAAGGCTGAAAACAATTATTATTTATTTATTATTTATTTATTTGATTTATATCCCGCCCATCTGGTCTGGTCGAAGTGGAAATACTAAAAAGCAGCAAACAACCACTTGGAGAGATGGAAAGCACAAGTGGTATCAAAGACCCAGTCAGAGCAGTAAGGCATGACAATCCACCTAAAAGTCACACCCAGGTAGCCAGCCACGTGGCCGGTCCACCCAGGTGTGCCCTGGCACATTGTCAATGAGCCGAGGCAAGTTAGCAAAGCCTTGCTCAAACTCAGACACCAGTCGGACTCCCGTCAATAGCTCTGCGACGTTTGCTGTTTTGAAGGGTGTTATGGAAATACTAAAAAGCAGCAAACAACCACTTGGAGAGATGGAAAGCACAAGTGGTATCAAAGACCCAGTCAGAGCAGTAAGGCATGGCAATCCACCTAAAAGTCACACTCAGGTAGCCAGCCACGTGGCCGTTCCACCCAGGTGTGCCCTGGCACCTTGTCAATGAGCCGAGGCAAGTTAGCAAAGCCTTGCTCAAACCCAGACACCAGTAGGACTCCCATCAATAGCTCTGTGACGTTTGCTGTTTTGAAGGTGTTATGATTACACGGGTGGTAAGCATCTTCTCAATGAGTTATTATAATCACCTCTTTTTAAATTCGATATTTTTCTTCTATTGCATATAAGAAAACTCTCCAAAGTCTTTGGCCAGACACAATAAAGTCAGTGTGTCGGCTGTTCCAGAAGGACAAACGGGCACATGGTTTGGTGCCGTTGTAGCCACTGTAAAAGCATTTTGATTCAAAGACCCAGTCAGAGCAGTAAGGCATGGCAATCCACCTAAAAGTCACACTCAGGTAGCCAGCCACGTGGCCGTTCCACCCAGGTGTGCCCTGGCACCTTGTCAATGAGCCGAGGCAAGTTAGCAAAGCCTTGCTCAAACCCAGACACCAGTAGGACTCCCATCAATAGCTCTGTGACGTTTGCTGTTTTGAAGGTGTTATGATTACACGGGTGGTAAGCATCTTCTCGATGAGTTATTATAATCACCTCTTTTTAAATTCGATATTTTTCTTCTATTGCATATAAGAAAACTCTCCAAAGTCTTTGGCCAGACACAATAAAGTCAGTGTGTCGGCTGTTCCAGAAGGACAAACGGGCACATGGTTTGGTGCCGTTGTAGACATTGTAAAAGCATTTTGATTTTAATTACTTTGCTGTTGGTTGTAACACTTGGAGGAAAGCCATCAGCCAAATGATTCTCCTCATTCCAGAGTCATTTAGAATTGTTATATAACATGATAGGAGTTTGAAAAATAAAGAAATTACGGCCCATTTCGACTAGAGGTGCAATCATATGGAACTTACAGCCAAGCCCTGTTGGTTTTGTTGAGGTCAATTTAGCATTTAAACCGTACGTTTCTCTCTCAGTATCTACAGCAGCTTAGAAATGAATAAAAAGCAGTACAAAAGAGTATTAAAAGAGTCAACAACTGACCAATTTCTTTATTTTAATATGCGCATTCATGGACAAATCCATCTCCTTTTACATATACAGTATTTATATTGGAACTTACTCTGGTGAATATTATAGTGTAGCATGCAATAAAAAATAGATATTTATATGTGTATATGATTTGATTCCAAATTTAATAAATAAACAAACAAACAAGTATATAAAAGGAAGTGGACTTCATGCAAGCGTACATTAAAATATAGCAGTTAGCTTTTAAGGTGCCAGAATTCTTTTGTCTTCTTTATTTTTTCTTTTTCTTTTGTTTTGCCTGATGCACGTAAAGTTTACAGAGAATCAAGCTATGGATAAAATGTTAGCAATTGTTCTGTTATATTTTTTAAATAATAATAAAAAACTCAGGATCTATTGGCTGAAAAACCATTGGTGTAACTTTATGCCATATAACCCAGATGATCTCATTAAGTGGCAAGGAACATCTTACATTTAATTTATTTTAATTTAGACGTCTAACCCGTCCTTCCAGGTTCCAAGGCTGCCCAGGGATCCCTTTTGCTCTTCAGAAGCCGTTGGGAGCTTATATACTGGAATGTGCTCTGATGTAGTTTTTACTTAGGCATCCTTCAGTCCTGAATTACTATGATATCGTGCTCCATATGGCGGACTTGCCTGATGTAGATTGGGCTATACATTATTATTCAAAAACACCAGGCACAGTCAATCAAGATTATAAAAACATTGACTGGTATTGTATAACAGATACAAATTTTAACCAAAAATCCAAGTATCTGTTAAATAGCGGCACAGTATACGTATATGCTGTTCCTAATACTGCCCTTTTTCTGTAGCTCTGATGGTGGTGCGATTTGTTAGATCTGCAGCTGCTTATAACATTGCGTGAAATTTCCTGATATGGTTCCCAAAGCCCCCATGACGACGGGGACCACAGAAGTGTGTCTCTTCCAGAGGCGAGATGTTTCGATGGCCAGGTCTGGAAAAGAGCAGATACGGATCAAATGGTTTTCAATGCATTCCTATGGGAAATGCAGATTTGACCTGAGAACTTTTTGACTTGAGAACTGCCTTCCAATACGGATTAAGTTTTCAAGTCAAGACCCCACTGTAGTTTTTACTTAGGCATCCTTCAGTCTTGAGTTACTATGGTATTGTGCTCCGTAAGGAGGACTTGCCTGATGTAGAGTGAACTATACATTATTATTCAAAAATACCAGGCACAGTCAATCAAGATTATAAAAACATTGACTGGTATTGTATAACAGATACAAGTTTTAACCAAAAATCCAAGTATCTGTTAAATAGCGGCACAGTATACGTGTATGCTGTTCCTAATACTGCCCTTTTTCTGTAGCTCTGATGGTGGTGTGATTTCTGAGATCTGCAGCTGCTTATAGCATTGCGTGAAATTTCTTGATATGGTTCCCAAAGCCCCCATGACGACGGGGACCACAGAAGTGTGTCTCTTCCAGAGGCGAGATGTTTCGATGGCCAGGTCTCTGTCCTTTGTTAAGTTTTTCCAGTTCTTTATTTTCAACTCTGGCATCCCCTGGATTTGCAGTGTCAATGATCCAGACCTTTTTTCGTTCTATCGCTAATGCTGTGTCTGGTATGATCTGTTCAAGGTGTCGGTCCATTTGGATCCGGAAATCCCACAAGATCTTGACTTCTCCTTTTCTGACACCTTCTCTACCTGACGTTCCCGCGGGTTTTTGGGAGGCCAGCAAGATCTATTTTTTGCATTAGGACCAGTGCACTAATTTTGCCACTCAATCAGGTCTAATTTTGTAATTAGCTTGTGCCATATTTGGACATTTGCAGATGGGGTGTGACATGGTTTCATGTTTTTCCTGGCAGAGTCAACCTTTGTTTTTAGCACCAATTCCTTGGATCTTAGCTTTCTTCTTCTTTTCCCACCAGAGCATGGAGGGCAGTTCTGGAGTGCTGATGTCATACACACTGCCTGTAAGCTGATTGGCCGGCTCTTGGAAGCATCTGGTTTGTGATGTCACTACGATGGGCATGATCCGTGGACCCTGTCCCTAGTGTCGAGACATGTAGGATGAAGAGGTTGCTTTTTTCTTTTCTGGTGCTTTCCGTTCTCTGCGCCACGCAAGCCCCCATGACGACGGGGACCACGGAAGTGTGGCTCTTCCAGAGGCGAGATGTTTTGATGGCCGGGTCTCTGTCCTTTCCTAGTGTCGAGACATGTAGGATGAAGAGGTTGCTTTTTTCTTTTCTGGTGCTTTCCGTTCTCTGCGCCACGCAGGCCGAAGATGACAGGTGCAAGTAAGTGGCCCGGGTAGCCCGAAAGCTGGCCAGGACCCCTCCCTGGGCATGATATCCAGAGTTCTGGGCTAGCCCGGTCCCTTTTTGCCCTCCCCACGCCTTGCCTTCTGCTCCCGGATCTGATTGTGCCTTGCCAGCCCTCTGGGCTTCCTCCCTCCCGCCCAGTCCCTGCTCCTCAACAGATGGAGCCTCGGGTTCCCGGGGTGGGCTGTTTCGGGTGTGATAGTCCTAATGATTCCGATCAGCTGATTCCATGGGTCTCTTTTCGCTGGGACAAATAAGAGGATCTCGCCCATAAATCCAATCACACCGTTCATTTTATGTGCAGACCCCAGTTGCTCAGTGCTACCTGGCAGACCTGCATGCACATTACTTTAGGCATGGATGCAAAAACGAGTTGGAATTTGAAGGCTGAACTATGGCAGAGTTTGCTGCAATTTTGAGATAGCCACTGTTTCAGGGTCAAAGTGGCTAACTGGACGAGCCAACCCAGGTCCTCTGCCTTCGAGGCTGCTGACCAGCATGCTCAGGAACTGGGGCATCAGGTCCCCGAAAGGCTTGCTGAGTTCCTCGGGGCTTTCCTGCTCCGGAGGCTCCAGGCGTTTGGAGTGGCAGCTCCCTGGGTTTCACGCAACTTATGCCGTGGCTGGAGCTGTGAGAAAAGAAGATGGGGCGGGGGGGGGGCGGCGGGAGATAATACGATAGCCTTTTTCAAAGACTTGAAAGGCTGTCCTCCCGAGAAAGGATAGGATCCGTTCTCCATCATCCTGGAGTGCAGGACATGCAAGAAGGGGCTCAATTGACAGGAAGCCAGATTTGGGCTGAATATGAGGAAAAACTGTTGGAGCAAGAACGGAACTCGTGACTTCTGGGGGACATGGTGAGTGTTCCAATGCCGGAAGCCTTCGGGAGAAATTTAGGCAACCACCTGCCGGATCTGCTTCGGTTTGAATTCCTGCCTTGAGCGGGGGGGGGGGAGTTGGACTCGAAGGCCTTAAGAGGCCCCTTCCAGCGTCACTATTCCATGATTCTGTGAAAGATATTAGCAGACAAGGCTGCCCTGTATGGTTGCCATAGCAGGCAAGAGGCGGTTTCACTTGAGTCCTGTCCTGACTTAGAATCATGGAATCATTGATTCATGGCGTGGGAAGGGGCCTCGAAGGCCATCCAGTCCAGCCCCCTGCTCAAAGCAGGATCTCAAATTGAAGCAAATCTGACTGATGGTTGTTAAACTTTCTCTTGAATGCCTCTAGCATTGGAGCGACTTACATGCTTGCAGGACGGAAGGTGTGGGAACAAGTGCTTGTTCTTCATCCATTTATTCTGGATGTGTGCACTCCATCTTCCGCAACAGCGACAGAGTTGCTTACTAACACTCAAACTACGGAGTAAAACTGCAAAGTCAATTTTTCTTTATACTGTACATTAATCAGGCAATAAGGTCAAAAGTCAGAATAAAGCAGCTACCTCTGAGCCTGCAAAACAGAGAAATGTTTTAATAGAGACCGCAGAGAACAGGACAGATGCAGTCCAGCCCGTAAAATATTTTGTGATTAAGGCAACCCGGATGCTGCAGGCAACCTGTCCTCAGGAAAGAAGCTCCATTAGTATTTTAGAGACATGATTACAATAGACGTTCCTGTCTGAGAAATCAGAAATGAGCCAATCCTAAAACGCAACCAGCTAACTCGCAGTTTAACGGTAACATTAAGCCCGGCAACCCAATCTGGAGCGGTTCCTCTCTGTGATGCTGGAAACAACAGAGACGTCTCTCTTGCACCGTCACCAGCACATGCTTTGGTGGCGGCCCACAACCAAGGTCTTTGGTGAAGACTTTCTCAGAGGTGTCCTCTTTCCCCAGTGGGATCTGCGGGAGACGCCCGCTGGCCTCCAGCCACGGTGGGTCCGTGCGCATCATCGGTGGCACTGATGCTCTGCCAGGAACGTGGCCCTGGCTGGTCAGCATCCAGGTCCCAAGCCGCAAAGGGTTTATCCATATCTGCGGCGGTTCCCTCATCAGCTCTCGCTGGGTCATCACGGCAGCCCACTGCTTCTTAGATAAAAGGTGAGTGGAAGCTGGCGGTGTGTGTGTGTTCCCACATCTTTGAGAAAGGGGGCAGGGGGAACAGGGCAGGATAGGGCCATAGGTTTGTTTGGATCGTGCCAGGTAGAGTTCAAAAAAGTCAATGATTCTAGTTAGAGAATCAGAATCTTCCCAATTTGAAGAGACCCTTATCCAGCAGGCCGAGGCCAAGAGGCAGTCCCGAAACCAGCAAAACCAGGGAGCTGGACAGAGGACAGATTGTATATGTCTTCAGTGAGGAAGAAGGGATTGTCACTATCGAACTGGCCTCCTCAGCCACACTAGACACTGTTCCAAGTCCTCCATTCTGAGCACGTTACCCTAGTCTCTTGAGACTGAAGGATGCCTACAGAACACTTCTTAACAAGCATCATTATTCTGTAGGATAGGTAAATATTTGAACTATAAAAAGAAAGTTGCTTCTGATCAAGGATTGACTGCTGTCCTGCAGTGAGTCCTGGACCCTTATTGCATGGCAGGAGAGGAAGCTGAACATGTTCCATATGCGTTGCCTCTGATGCATTTTTGGGATCACCTGGCA